CTTCTGAAGAAACGCAGACAACCATGCATGTGTGCTGGCTGGCTTTCATTATTCTGCTCCTATACATTGACAGCAAACATTGACAGCAAACGCTTGTTGCCCATCTGCGAAAAAGCCAGACAATCCATTTTGACAGGCGTGCTTCTACCCATACTGCATGCCAAATGTTTGGATTGCATGATCTATCTGATTGGATCTGCTCAGGAAAATGTATTTCCATATAGGATCTGACATACATTACTTTTCCACCTCACTAATTTTGGCCTAATTTGCATTTGTTTTTTTCATGATTGCTCCTATGCCAATTATTTTCCCAACTTGCACACACATTATTAAAATGTGTTGATTTCAGGTGCAAAGGTAGTCACGATAAGAAAAATCCATTTTTATTCCCACACGTTGGTTACTTTGTCCTCTTATGATTTAAAGTCACATTTAAACCTGTGTAAATGTACGCCTGTAATTATCTCCCAAGATAATATGACATTAAGTGATTTAATGCTTTATAAGATGTCCTATGATATAACAGAGCCGTTTAAAAACAAGAACGTATTAGTGTGGATGTAGCCTGAGTGAAGGCAAAGATATTCACAGAGACGTCTCTGCCTGCACTTGAGGCTCTGCCACAGGATATTGCGACTGCACTCTTTAAGAGAAGCAATAACAGCTCGCATGTCATCTGAGACTGCATTTCTTTAAAGGTGTAGCGTTGAGATAACCGACCTTTCCTTCCTGCCACAGTGTCTGTGAGAGAAAGAGAAAGTAAAGTACAGAACAATGTGCTTTAGGAAAAATTAGAACAAAGAAAAAACTATTGAGTTATAAAATGGGAAAACTAATAATGTGAGTAGGTAGATATAACTCCTTTATTTGCCATGTCCGTTAGCATTTCTTTTCAGAACTGGCCAATATGGCGAATTGACCATGACTGAAAGCATAGAAATTAGAAATTATTCAAATGTGAAAGGGTTTATTGGTTTTTATGCAAATATTGGATCATTTTCATGTGAGCTCATTGCTTTGCATAAAAATGAAACTGGAGAAAGTATTCATTCTTTTTCACTTTTTGGGCAGCGTGTTTGAAACAAAACAAACAAAAAAACACATTCAAGAAATGTGGTGTCTGTCTTTATTTGCTTTTCCACAGCAGTCACATCTTGTGAATAGCACCTCACTTCAAAGCACGCACATGCTTTTATTGACTTTTCACTTCAAGACATAGGTGTTTAGATTTTGTGAGATAAAAGTAGATCACATTACAGGAGCTGCAATCCGCTTCCTAAAAAATGACTGCAGAGGCATTACTAAGATTTACTTTGTATTTGTATTGCAAGACAAAAGACAATACACTTACAGGACAACAAACGGATGACAAGAACAGTGAGGACAGTTAAAATGATGAACGAATGAACCATAAGGATGAGGCCATGTTGGTGTGTGTGTGTGTGTGTTGTATCACCTATGTGGAAAAAGGAAATAAGTAAATAAATAAAAGAGCAAATAACATAAATTATGCAATATAATCTTAATAAAAATGATAATAATGTACACTAATACTAATCCTACCTTTGCCACCACCAAAGCTACTTATAACACTATCAATAACAACAGCAATAAAGTCAGGGGGCTGCTGATCCATTTTCTGGCAGTAAAGCACGACAGGGGCACTGTTAGGAACCTAATTCCAGCAGGGTCAACAGAGTTATTGTTTATTTTTTTTGGTTATTGACATGCAATTTTATTTATTCACTTGTTTTGTTTTTTTTAAACAATTCGTTTTTTGCTAATTGGTGCAGCTTTGGGTCGCCTCTAGGCCTTATAGAAGGGACCTGGCCCATTGGTGGCCTAATCGCTTACAAAAGAGGGACATGGCGGTGTGCGGCCCTGACAGTTCTCATATATCATAATTATCATTATGAAGGAATAACATTATGATGGCAGAGGACTTTTAGACAGACATTAAGGGAAGTATGGGTTTGTGTGCATGTGCATACACCTGTGCATATGTGTATGCATCTGTGTGCAGGAGACTGGGTTTCTCTGACTTACAGCATGAGAGGCAGACATGGCGTTCCAAGACACTCCCCGAGCTCCGGCAATTAATGATGACAATTTAAATCTTGATAGTCTGGTCTTTGCTGGGGCAGCCGGGCCAGACGCGTTGAGGAAGTCACCTATCTAATAGATGCCACATGATATTAATGTACAGAGGCGCGCCGCCTCTAACCTGGCAGCCTCTGGAAATCAATCACCGCCCCGGCATTACTTTCTTTTGACAAATATGCTCTCACCGGCCAGGTAGCAGAGCTAATGGCCTCCAAAGTATATCTGTCAAAGACACAGCTCATATTAATTATTCAGTCACCTGTGCTCCTATGCTGTGGTGCTACCTTACAATATTTACACTGCTGCAAGGGGCCGCTCTCCCACCGGCTTACATTCCCCCGAAATGGCGAGCTTCCTTTGCGTGAGCCATAATTCCATCTGCTCCACTTCTACTGGGAGAGGGAGAGAGACGAGCTGCTTTCATCGCTTATCAAGGAACACAGCAGTCTCTGGAGTTGCATGAGAGTAAACATGACTGAAGGCTGATGAAGGGTTTGCATTGTGTTTAAGTCATTAATGAGACAGGTTTCATCAGTGGAAGGCAAGAGTCAGTGCTGTCAAGGCCCGTGAGTGTGTGCGTGTGTGTTTGTGTGTGTGTTTATTCAGTCTAGATGTGAAAGCATGCTAAATATAGTTGGTAATCATGTGTGCATAATGAGGCAACCAGGGCAAAGAAATGTTTTAAAAGGTTTCTGACAAGCGAGAAACCTTGCAGGCAGGGTTACACAAAGAGCACAATGGTGGCAAATCCAGCTGTTACCAGACAACCACTGGCCACCATGCTCTTACTGAGTTAAATCCCCTTTTTTCCCACCCACAAGGGGGGGGGGGAGCAGGGTGAATGGCTTCGGAGAAGGGGGAGAGGAAGGAGTGTTGCTGCATTCATGGGCATGTGGGAAAAGTAGGAGGAATAAGTTTCATATTTGGAAATACCATCCACTTTAGCTTTCAGGATGGTGACATTGTTGCAGATCTTCCTCTTTGTTTCTTTTTCTCAAAATAGACCCGAACAGCTCCACTGCGCTTCTCAATTCTGAGGGTAGCGTCCTTAATCTGCGGTCAGATGTAATTAAAAGCAAAAGTATGCCATTGCAGGACACGCACACATAGCCATTAGAATTGTCATGTTCTTTTTGTTTTGTTTTATCTGCACAAGAAAGCTGCACAATTTTCTTGTTGCAACAACATTGGATGTTTTGTCACGTTGCTTAATATACATTTCCTCTTTTGTTTCTAAATATTACTTAATGTGACAGTTAAAGGTTCTCGTAATGTCTTGCAGAGAATGAATTCACTCCCCCTCTGTGTGTGTTGTTATTTGAGCTTCTCTGTGCTTTTACATAGTTGGGCTGACTGTCTTTTGTGCATGTTCGTGCATTTGAGCGTGCCCCACTGGTTAGCTCATGGCCGCTGCTCTGCACTAGGCTCATACGGCAGTTGCGATGCGGGAGCTCCGGTAGACACCGTTAGTTCTGTCAGCACGCTGAGGCCTATGTTGAGAGCCACATTAATCTGCTGCTACAACAGTTTTTCACCAGATTTTGCAACCAGGGGTTTTGCTCCCATTCAGCACAATAACATGACCATTTATTAGATCGGCCACTGACGTCAGGTGACTTGCAGTCAAGTTCCTAGTTCATCCTAAAGGGGTTGGATGGGGTTGAGTTCAGAGCTCTGTGCAGGCCAGTCAATTTCTTCCAAACCAAACTTAATGGACCTGGCTTCGTGCATGTGGGCATTGTTATGTTTAAACAGGAAAGGGCCTTCCCCAAACTGGAAGCACACTATTGTACAGGCATGTAATTGTTTGCTGTGGCAGTAAGATTTCTCTTCTTTAAAACTAAGGGCCCACAAGTATGTGCAGTGTCCACAAGGCTATGCAGTGTAAAATGGTAAATCCCTGTTCAGCTTTCTACTCAAATGGCAAAGTGCTTACTGGCGCACGTGGCCTAAGACAGAGATACACTCATCAACATCGTATATTGGATTAAGTGAATGAAACCAGACTCAGACCAATTGGAGAATGTTGTGCCAACATATTTACAGAGATCTGGCTCTATGGGGGCATTGCAGATCAAGCTGCACTTGACAGGTGTACAGCAAAACAAAGAGCAGAACTCTAATAGGACGAGAGGAGGCGGAGTGTTTACATCCATTATGCTTGGTGCGCAAACGTTGTCAAAGTTGATGGACAATGTTTCCTTGAATTCAGATTTTTAATGTTAAGATGCATGCCGGCCACTACTGTTTTTGTTTTGTCATGTTTTTGTTGTGTAGCATAAATGGACTACAACTGCATTTCGCTGTGCAACTCTGTGTTGCAGGACGACAATAAGGGATCCCTGAGTCCTTACATTTTAAAGCCATGCAGCCTTCCTGAGTGTGTATCCATGACATTCTCTTTGCTTATGTTTGTTTTTACATTTAAAAACTTAAAAAGTTCTGTTTCAAATGTTATATGAGTATCTTCAACATGTATATGTTTATATTTGCAGGCTCCAATAAGATTAGAAATATAGTCCGACTGTAACTCTTTCAGTGCCCTATCAAAATACATACTTGTAGCCATGCCAAACATGATAGCTGCCATTTAATGCAATACATGTTTCTCTAAATGGGTCCAATAATAATAGCCTGGAATAAGAATATAATATCAGTCATCACACGGGCTGTATCTTTTGCAAGTTTTAATTATAACGGTGTGTGAAACGTATTTTTACCAGGGCGTTTTTGTCAATGTACACGCGTGTGTGAGCGTGTGCGTGCGCGCGCGTGTGTGTGTGTGTTGAGGAGAGATGCTCACCCACACCCCTTGAACGCAGCATGACGGTCACGTGAGATGCTCCGCTAATAATGCAGTGACGTGGTAGAGTTCCGTCAGTAGAGCGGTGTCTGACAGCCTGACTCCCCGGGCCAACAGCTGCGTTGCCCGGCTGGGAAATCCGACAGGGGTCGGTCAAAGACGGAGCGGAAGAAAGATCCTCGGAGAAGAGAAACAAAAAGGTGCTTGACTGTCAAAACGAAGAAGCGGGATAGGTGAAAGTATACGACTGGTTGTTTTTGTTTTTCCTTCAGCACTCGGGGAAATGTTTTGGCAGTGATAGGTGGGACAGGATATTCATTTTTATTCTGTTTTTCTCCATCGCTCTCACTGCGCCGATACTCTAGGCTAAATCCTCCTGCCGAGCATCGTAACGGACTAGTCGCACCCCTGCTGCTCTGCCGCTCTCCCCTCCTTAGAGCGGCTCGAGCTCCGGATAAACGTGTGTGGATGCTGTGGTGCTTTCTCGTACATGTTTACATCAAAATCGCGTCTCCGGTGAGGTAGATAAACAAGGATAAGATCAGGAAATAGTGAAACAGCAACAAAAAAATGTTTTATTGAGTGAGGTAGAGGGAGGCTGTGGTGTATAACGCACACAAGGAGCAGGAGAGGAGGAGGCGCAGCAGGAGCAGAACCAAAAACCTGCAGGTTTTGTTCAGCCTGTGGGGATGAGGACGAGGAGGGACGTAACACATCCAAGGGTGTCAGTGTGATAAGAGGAGAGGGAGCTGGAAGAGGAAAAGGCACTAAAGCGCGAGGTTGTTTCCGATCCAAGGAGGCGTCGATGGCGGGGAAAGGGACCGGGGTTCACGCACTCCGACAGCCGACCGCTGCCCTGTCAGCAGCCGCAGCAGCATGAGGAGGAGGAGGTAGGCTATACGCAGCACTGCACGTCTCATCAGTCCTCCACATCCTCATTATTCATTTAGCCTTCCCCGCCTTCCTCTCCACTCCATTAGGCTACAACCAGCCATCCACCCTTCCCAGCCGCCTCGGTATCCATCCATCCTATTCACCCATCTGTGCCCTTCCTCTGCGTCCCAACACCCTGCATCTCCTCTCCATCGGGTACTTTTTGGAGCCCCAGTGAATTCCTAAAATGTTGCAGTGACAGTCAGGGGCACTTCGGGAAGGTGTTCGAAGCAGGTTTACAGCTTGAAACATTAAGAATACTTTGATTGTATTATAGCCTACATTCACCCCCTAAGGGTAAATGTTGATGGATAGCTTTCGTTGATCCTTGCCCAGAGCAAATCAGAGATGGCTGAAGGAACAACCATTGATATAAAAAAAGGGGTCAGTCCATACTGTATGCCTATTCCTTTACATAGATTCAAGTTTAGGAAACTCCTCGTTGGAGCTGCCAACAGGCCAGGCCAGGGAGTTCCCATTGATCCAGTTCAATTAGGCTTTTTATCCACTTCATCACGTCCAGCTGCCTGAGCCATTTGGCACGGAAAGCCTGTGCATGCTAACTGCTGAGATGGATATATATTTAAAAAAAGCAGTGAAGCTCACCATCTGGGTATTCACTCTGCCCGCTAGACTATGAAACTTTAATAGGGTCTAATTTTCAAACCACCTCATAATTTATTGCTGTGGCGTCTGAACTGACAACCACGAAAAGAGTCAAAGTGGGAAGAATACGGCCAGGCTTTATTAACAAAGTGAAACGGAAATACTGTTAGAATTAGATTCAATGGTAAAAGTTGGCCGCAGCACAATGAGAAGGGTTGGATATCACTCGGGCTGAGTGGAAGAAAACCACCGTCATATAATATTTACTACAGCTATAGTAGCTCAGAGCTGCCAAAGCTTTATTTCCCAGAGGGCTCTTGTATTTTTGAGTCCACTTTTAAGAGGCTGCTGTATCCTTTGTAGCCTTTTTGACAGGACAAATGAATCCAAATGTTACCCTGTACATCTAAATGATGTGGTTTTGACTTGCGTGTTAAAGGGGTCGATTCACACAAAGTATAAAAAAAAGATTTCTCACTTTTGGGCTTATCTGGTAATGTTTTGAGATGTCCGTCTGAGGTTTTTGCCTCGGTGAATGGGATTATGGTGTGTGGTGCTCACAACATGGAAAAGTTGCACGTAACATTACATTTAGTGGTTAAGTGATTTTTATTTTCATTGTTGATTATTCTGCCCTATACATTTGAATGAATGATAGGGCATGAATCTAGTTATTGTCTGGTCTAAAAACAGCAATTGCAGTTTCCAAAAACACAAGGTGACATCTTCAAATTTGCTTCTTTTTTATTTTTTGTCCAACCAACAGTCAAAAAAAGAAATTAGCCGATTATCTGTCCATCAACTAACTGAATCATCATTTCAGCTAAAAAAAAACAGCAAAATATCTTTAAAGAAAAAAAGCTCCTGTGATTCTTGATTAATTCATGGAGAACAGGTTTTATTGGAACTAGTTTCTAAAAAAAAAAACATCCCTCTATTGTACTGAGGTGGAGGCAAAGATGGTCGAAACGGGCAAATACGGCTTGCTATCACCAGAGAAAGAGCCAGAGAGAAAATGTTTAGGTTTTTTTTGTCATTTGAATGAATTGACCCTTTAAAGGATTAGATGATCATGTTTTTTGATGGGATGCTCCAGTGGCCTGTCCCAGATCTGACCAGCCTGTGTGTGATGAAGGGTAAAAAAAAACACAGCTGGCCATCCAGTGTCACTCATCTGCTCTGCAACACTTAGCGAGAACGCAGCCCTTCCTCTCCCAACGGTCCTATCCTATTTGAGGCAGGCTACACCAAACAACATTGGCAAACAGGCCTACCCCCAAAAAATAAAAAGTATTTATTTTTTACAGTCTTTTATTGGGACTATTTCTTAGATATAATGTTTGTTGTGTTGAAAACTGTGGGCCTACACATAAGTCTGATTATCCAAATAAACAGTGGCACTGGTTTTTGGAAAGCGATGCTGCTGCTGAGTTTGTTTTAAAAGGGTAATGTTTAATTAACTTTAATTAACTTCCATTGTAGTTTGGCTGTGGGCTAAATTTCAGAGTCAGATCTTTTGAAAACTCAGCAGATGAAACTGAAATATCTGCATGATAAACATACCACGAGGAGTGAACTCGAGCACGTCGGCCTATATGGACACAGACAAAGACAAATCAATGGACAGTGTCACATGTTGCCCAGTAGTTTAATTCAAAAGCTGGACAAATGCATTATAATACTTGTGTGATCGTTTAGAAATAGATGATAAATAGGAAAAAAACAAGTAATTTGAGTAAGCTGTAACACTGAGATTGGTTGACAGTGCTTAAACTAATTTAGTTAGAAAGCAAGCAGACAAGTTTGCAGTTAAAGGATTAGATCAATTCGGACATTTTGAGCATCAAACACTATATTTCCTGGATTGTGGTTAAACTTTATGCAAACATTTATGATGGAAATCTCATAGAAAACACAAAATTCAGGAGGCAGGTGACAATTCAAATTAAAAAGATATAATGCAATGTAATGCAGTAACGCATTCTGTATTGGTTTAAAATATTTGTTCTCCTGTAGGTCAACTTCTCATTTAATGTTATCCCTGCCAAGTCAACAAAAATGTAGGCATTTTTTAGTCTTCCTTCCTCTTATGTGTCTTTTTGCTTGGGGAAGTAACCGCTTTTATTGTGCATGTGGCACCGTATTCACCTCAATAAACTAAAAACAAACTTTCTGTAACACCAGTCTCAGCAAATGTTTAGTCTATTAAGAAGCAGTTGACGGCCGAAAGAACACTTCAAGCTGTTTACCCGAAAGTAAGCCATAATAAACCTGTAGAGGCGTCAATACTTACGCCTGGCTGATTTGCGACCATGACTTACGAGAAAGTATTAATCATAAATGTACTGAATTGTTATTAAGATAATGGTTCTTGATACCAGATCGGCACATTGTCACCGATACCCGATCCAGCTAGCATCAGACTGATATCAGTATTGGTTCATCTCCACTTGAATTAGCTAAAGGAAATAAATAAACGGTTTGAATAGTTATAAGTAATGAATAAACAGTCGGAGCTAAAAGTCATGGATAAATAGTTGCAATAGTTAGCTGATCAATGATAAACAACAGTCACTTTTGAGGAAGAAGGCAGCTCAATAGGGGAGGAAAGTGACCAGGACAAGAAAGCATTAAAATGATACCGCAGCAACATTGAGGGGAGAGGTTTGAACTCAATAGCATTCTCTTTACTTTCAAGTGACTGCTTGGGAAGCGTGGACTGAACACTGGAAGATGCTTTTTTAAATGAGCCCAGCGTGACCTTGTGAGAACAAAAGCAGACGTGACATTCTTGAAACTCATTGCTGTGCAGCTCAAGTCACAATGGCAGTGCAAATACTTCAGATGCGTCCTGCCAACATATGCATTGGCCTACAGTAAGAGAGCAATGGGAAGAGAGTGAATGATTGAAGGTAAAGTTGTTTTAGACAAAGACATTGCTTGAGATTTAGGTTTGGTATCTTGGCTCTCAACTGGAATGCTAACAATAGAGAGCCAGGGCAGAGTGCCCTTCTTGCTCAGTGCTGCATATTTATTGGGCATAACAACTCACCAGACTACGATGAAGCATCAAATGGGCAAACTTCATGACCAATTTAAGAACCGTGGTCATTTTGTGAAATCAGGAGGTACAGTAAATATCTTTCCGATACGTTGAAGCAATACAGACACTACTTCAAAAGTCTGAACAGTGCTTACATTGTAAAATAAAATAAAAAAACTATCTGTAACCTGCTCCGTGTTGGCGGTGATCAACCCCACTATCAGTATTCTGTCATATGGCCTTCGTCAACCCTGACTTTTCTATACCCTGATAAAGGCAATGTACCCTACTTTAACATTAAAATAAATCATAAATGCAGTGGTTGAATGAGGATTGTTGCTTCAAGGCAGTGAACCTCAGGCCTGACTGACTATGTGTCAGTCAGGCCTCAGTCACAGGCCTGACTGACACATAGTCAGTCAGGCCTGTTTCAATAAAGTGCAATTTCAAACTCTACCTTCAGTGAGCTTCCACTCTAAACGGCTCACAAATCGTAGCTGTGAGTGTCTTGAGGAAAATGTGTCACAAAGTGCACTGCTTCACTGAGTGAAGGTCATATCCTCATCGACATCAGCAAAGCTTGTCTTGCATGCGTTACACAAAGATGTGGAGGCCAAAACGGGGCCGGGCTGTTTAGGCGTGGAAACAAAGAAAGCAGGGAGAATGGCGTTCATACCTCGCTGTGGAAAGTATTTTGCTCCGTTTACTGTATTTGTTTTCCCCTCCAGGTTTGAGGCTGATGTGGTGACAGAGACAACACTCTAATGTATGCCTAGTATGTCATCACTGTGTCACTACCCCTGCCTTCGTTCTGATTATTGACCGCTGCAGAATCGCTGGGGCTTTAATTAGTGCTAGTGGAGCTAATTGGCTTGCGTAAAAGTGACATTGATGGGAGGCCGGAAAATGAATTAATGAGGATGGGCCTTGGCAGATTAAATGGAACTGCTAAACAGTAAATGTCTGAATGTCTTTTCTCCCAGTCAAACTGGCATTTACGTCGAAAAAAACCAAAAACAGAAAGGAAGTCTCACACTCAACCATTCATGGTGGTCTGCATGTGACGATTGTGGATGTGTGGGCATCCATCACGTGTTTGTGTGTGTGTGTACTTCTTCTGTGTACATGTGCATCTAAGTGTTTATGAGCCCCTCTGGGTGTGCACACTTCATCAGAGCTCACGTAACTAGATGTTCATTTAGTTGACAGGAGAAATCTCTCAAGCGTTGGATATGCTTCGATGTAAAGTATGTTAACCTTTAAAACAAAACCGACCCTGGCCCCTCTCATTCTCCTGTAATTGCTTGCGCTGGGTAAGCACACTCGCCTGAAAAGGTTATCGTGTTCCTTGCCAGTTGTCTTGATGAATGAACAAACATAGCAGGAAATGAAAATTGGAAGTTAAGAAAATCGGCCCCCACACTAAGCCGACATGTAGCATTCGCACAAAATAATGCTCGGTTTTTCGGTGGCCGCAAATCATTAAAAAGCGAGCACACAAATAAACAAAATGGCAACGCAGGCAGTCAGTAAATTAACGCACTCAGGAAGGAAGTGTAGTGGGGAACGCTCAGAATAGGAAGTGTTGTGAATGCAGCGCTCAGGCTAGGCTCCCCCCCCCCCCAATTAGTGCCAGCATTTATAAGGCACCTGTGGTCCTAGCCTCACTCCTTCTTGGCCCCTGTTCTGGTGGTGAGTGTCACACATATTCCTCCTCTTGTTGCCGTCTGACTACTTACCCCTTGTTTGAGGTGGTAAGTAGTCACATCTTAATTTGTATTATTTTGCAGCATGGTGTGCCCTTTTAATCTCTGTTTATCATTTGTAGGTTCACCTGCTGCTGTTTTGCTGCCTCCATTTTGTCTGATTTGTTTTACCTCCTTTTTCTTGTTTTGGTTTTGCTTTGCGTGTTTTGGCTGTTTTTCCTTTGTTCTGCATGTTTTAGTGATTTTTATTGAATTCTTTAATAAATGTTTATTTTACGAAATGCATCTCTGTCCAAATACCGGTAGTGAACTTGTGTGCCCTTAATAAATTCTCCAGTAATATATTAGGGTCTTTTAAGTTTATATTTCCCGGGGTGTAAGTCCCCAGGTGGCGTTGTTGGTCCCCTTTAATTTCCCCCCCCCCCCCTTAAGGCCTCGCTACAGAAGGATGGATTCAGGGCTTGCACTGCTGCTATATTAATATTCACTAGTTCAACCTGCGTGTGTGTGTGTGTGTGTGTGTGTGATCATTGAACACAGCAATGATGCAGTATGTTTCTAGTGTGGGTATAATTATGTGTGATGGGCACATGCATCTTTTGTGTGGGTCTATAGACACAAGAGTTGCATTGTGTGCAGTGTGTTTGTTGTTTGTGCCATTGAGTCTGATCTGCATTCGATTTCGTGTTAGTGGGTCTGTGAATGCACAAAAAAAAATGGATTGTGTGTGCACTGCAGTATTTGGTGTGCATGTGATTATGTGCAATGCACAGTAAATTTTGTGCTTGTGCAAACTGATTGTTTGCCCCGGCGAGTTAGAGAATCAGTGTGCGCATACGTGATTGCCTTTGTGCTTCCCTTGGTGCACAGCTCCCCGTGGGCAACAGATGCAATCATTCATATTACATTTTGTCTGCTTTGACGCATGCTTGTGTGTATGCTTGTTTCCTTGCGTGGCCTGCATTTATGCCTGTGGTAGAAGATCGAGCAGCCTGGGTGGTCTCAACTAGACAATAGGTGGCATTGATAAGCTGAAGGTGAATGGCGGGTGAAGGCTGTTATCGCCGGAGGCTGGCTCAGGCTTCGGCACCCACTGCCTGCTGGACCCTGAAAACTCATTTTGACAGATGCATCTCCTCCCTAGCTGTCGACGCGCGGTGGGGGGCTGATGACGCTCACTTGCACAAGCGGCTCAGTGTAGCGTTAGCCAGTATCACGTTGAGCAAACCTGCAATTTATACTTCTGCCCCAGGCATTAAGCTGAATAATGACATGCGAGAAGCCACCACCATCTCACCATGCCCAGCACCAGACAACCAGCTCATAGTGTCAACGAAGCACTTGAGTATTTTCAATTCCTTTTTATAGTCCTAACTGAGATGTGTCTGGGATGATCAAGGAAATGCCCTTATTTTATTTCACTGTGTGAAGTAATGGGACAATGTGCTCATTTAGTCAGTTGTTACTGTGTGATTGATTTACTCTGATAAGATGTGTTATACTGTGTGTCCGCCACTAGGCACACATCTTGATGCGCCTTTTTTCAGTTGTATCGATGAACTGTACGCACAGTAATATTTACAGCAGCAATCTTGCAACAGCGTTCTCTGAATCTCCCATTTCTTTCCTCAGAAAGACGCATCCCCAGAGCCTGCTGTTTTTTACGTCCCTGTCCAATCAAAGATGCTACAAAGCTGTTGTATTGATTTTCTCCCTTTCAAAATGTTAAGTCAGCTTACAAAAGTGCAATTTACCATAGTGGGCTCTGCTTCCACAGAAAGCTCTAATTGGGGCCTTTGCATCTGGAAGAAATTAATTCAGAATTACTCAGAGTCAAAACAAACCATAAATAAAATGATTAAGAAATATGCTCTGTTCTCCCCACAAGTAGAATGTAAAACACATCTGTATCTCAGACCATTGACACTTGGCTCAGTGCCAGTGAATCGGAGGTCCTTTTCAGACCACTGCCAATGTTTTCTCATGTTTCTTTTCTTCTCATTTCAGCTCAGAGTAAACACAGAGGAGGTGACCCTTATCATATCCTGAAGGAGACGAGACATAGAGCATGACCTTGTGTTTGTCTACAGTGCCAAGGAAGAGCCAGGAAGAAGCCTTGGCAAGAGAATCATCGCCTTCCTAGCTCCATCAGGAGCCCCTATAACCCTGTTGCAAGCTGCACTGGGGGGCTCAAACATTCCCCTGACTTCACCAGGGGGCTCACTCCAACCCATCTGCCAGCTCCAATAACCCTCTGACTGTTGGCAACCACATGTTTGAGGCGACTGTGTGTGACCGCCGCCGCCCATTCTCGAGCAGCAGCAGCAGCAGCTTCCTGCGACCCCGATCTGCACCATGCAGTGGAGACGGCGGCACTGCTGTCCCATCAAGATGACCTGGACCGTCAAGCGTTCGCTCTTCCGGACCCATGTGGCCGGCCTCCTCTCGCTGGCTCTGCTCTTCACCCTCTTCTTGTTTTTCAGCCACCAAGACTGGCTGCCAGGACGCAGTGGACCCCGGGAAAACCCACTGGCCTACACCGTCAGGGGCTTCCGCAGCCCCAAGGGAGAAGCCAACCAGAGCAGCTCCCTGAGGAGCCTGTGGAGGGAGACGGGGTATGTAGCGCCAAAGCCTCTGCTCAACCTCAGCTCTCAGCAGGCGGATGGGGCGGCGGGGGAGGCAGCAGCAGCAGCAGCAGGGGGTGGAGGAGCCAGGATGGGCGTAATGGGGCTCGGGGACTCTATGAGCACTAACAACAGTTTACAGAAGGAGATAGGCGTGGGAGGGAGGCTCAGCGCTCAGCCCTACCGCTACATCCTCAACGAGCCTTTCAAGTGCAGGGACAACATGCCCTTCCTCATCGTCCTCATTGCTGCAGAACCTGGCCAGGCCGATGCCCGCAACGCCATCCGCCAGACATGGGGGAATGAGAGCGTAACAATGGGCCTGGGGTTTGTCCGTCTTTTCTTGCTCGGCACAGGAAAGAGCTCAGACACCTACCTCCAGAGCAGCATAGAGGACGAGAGCCGCGTTCACCACGACATCATCCAACAGGAGTATCAGGACACTTACTACAACCTGACCATTAAAACCCTGATGGGCATGAACTGGGTGGCCACCTATTGCCCACACACCTCCTATGTGATGAAGACAGACAGCGACATGTTTGTCAACACAGAGTATCTCATCCAAAAGCTGCTGAAGCCCGAGCTGCCTCCCAAGCAGAGGTACTTCACTGGCTACCTGATGAGGGGCTATGCACCAAACCGAAACAAGGACAGCAAGTGGTACATGCCGCCGGAGCTGTACCCAAGCGAGCGCTACCCGATATTCTGCTCAGGCACGGGGTACGTGTTCTCAGGGGACATGGCCGAGCTGATCTACCAGGCCTCTCTCAGTATACGCAGGCTGCACCTGGAGGACGTTTACGTGGGGATCTGCCTGGCGAAGCTGCGCATCGACCCGGCGCCCCCTCCCAACGAGTTCCTCTTCAACCATTGGCGGGTGTCTTACTCCAGTTGTAAGTACAGCCACCTGATCACATCGCATCAGTTCCACCCCAATGAACTCATCAAGTACTGGAACCACTTGCAGAGCAACAAGCACAACGCCTGCATCAACGTGGCCAAGGAAAAGAACGGCAGGTACAGACACCGAAAGTTTCATGGAGAGAGGCCTCCTTGATGCAACCTGTGACTACCACCTGCCTCAAAAAGAAGGGAGATGGGCGCACTGTAACTACAGCCGAAGGAGGGCATATCGAACTCAGCACTATACACTATATGGGGAAAAGCACATTGTTTTTGGTATTGTGTACAGTCGATGATCCAAACTATTTTTTTAATTTGAGAAAAAAAATGTTATGTATTGTAAACCTGTTAAGCTATTTCTAAAAGGAGGATCGGAGGACATGTCTGCGATGTAGAGCTTGCACAAAAAAGTGCTGCTGCTTAAGAGTGGTGTTTATGATAATTCAGGTGCCAACAGAAACGTGTTAATTCATGCTACAGTTAATGTGAGGGCTCTCCTTGAAAGGATGGTACTGTATGTCGCACTCTACGAATCTAAAGAAAAAAAAATATTGAAGACACAATTGTGTTTACACAGACAAAGGGAAATGCACATGTATTTTGTCGACAGTTACACTACCTAAATATGACTGAAAGTATCTTTGACGTTGACCAGTTATGCTGCCCTGTTTCTCAGTGTTTACTTTACAGATTTATCAAAGAATACAACACTAAAGAAAAGGTTTCTGTCATATACTGTACTTTGTTTTAAAAAAAATCTACATGAAAGCACTCATGTCATGTCAGAGATGACTGAGATTGTATTTTTTAAAGCTTTACATTGAGTATGACTGCACTTGAGCAACTGTGCAACGAATTAATTAACAATTAAATGTACTGAACTCATTTTGCTTGCAGTTTGTGTGATTCATCTGGGATTCTTTTATGCAATCAAGCAACTTTAGTATCATTAGTCCATACAAGCCAAGGGCAGCAAATGTAGTGCACGGACATAATTTAATGTCCCTGCGACCCGTTTTAAGGCACAGTTTCTGAATACGGGCTTTGTGTATTTCCCCATGGATTGAACTTTCGATACTTTCACAATATCTTTTCAGCAAAATAAAAAAGGCTCCCCTTTTACAATATGGGACCTTTTAGTTATTTAGTGAATAACCAGTTTGAAGCTACAGACAAGATCCTTTACATGCCATTTGTTTAGGGGAAGGTGGGATCCAAAGAATACCTCCTTCACGTCACTTCCTATTATGAAGAGTGCTCAGACTTCTCCGCTCACCTCTTTTTAGTTTTTGTTTCCACTTTTATGACTACCAGTGGTTGCATTGTTACTGAACGATCTAAAATGATAATTCCGAACGAACCAGGCAAATGTGTTTTCTACAAACAAAGCCACCGATCGTTAAAAGAAAAAGGTAATATCGTATTCAGTGGACCTTGAAGAAATGCATTAACTTCCAAATAGAAAATTGAAACATTGAGATAAGTTTAGGTCAGGTAGAAGCAATGTGAAAACAATCAGGCTGAGCGATGACAAATTAATTATACATCGAACCCTTCAGTGTCCCCTGCATTAAATATTCGGCTGCAAAACACCGAAGTTTAGATTTTAATTGAAAATGAATGCATATGATTTTGAAAGGCTGCCAGTGTTTCTCCATGATGGAACTGCCTGTGCAAGTGTGTGTGTGTGTGTGTGTTTGGGTGGAGGGAGGCAATAAATAAATACATGCCAGAATGCTCAGGGCCACCAACAAAAAGAGCATATAAAATTGGGTTAAGACTTGAAATAGCCGATATCAGATTAAGGCAAATCTAAATAAACTAATGGAGAGCCAGGTCTCCTGCGCGTCTGTCAGTCTTTTTTTTAATCACCTACACGTTTGAGCAATTCCGTTAAGGGAGCTGTAAAATGGGTAAAGTTCACACAATGGTATATTTTAAGCCACTAATCACTAAGCAGCAGAGTCTTAAGGGTGGAGGAGGCTGAAAAGTAGAGACAGCAGAGGGAGAGAATTTCAAGATGTTCATCTCAGATAAACTGCACAGTGCAAAGAATTATTTGATGCCGGAGCCACAGGCAAGGAAACAACAGCTTTATGTGTTACTCTGTACACAGTCGTGAGAGAGATTATGCCATAGTACCAGCCTCAGTTCAACAGTTATCTACAGCGAGACGACATATTATTATCTCGAAACAGAGTTTCAAGATGCTAACAGTCAGCTGTAGGATCTATACATTTGCGAAAATATCCATAAAGTGATCCAAACAACAGATATTTGGCTTCACACCTATTTTAACATTGTACCAACGAAGTAGCTTTGCCTTTTTCTTAAAAATAACTTCTTCTACAAATACACCGATTACCTGTACTCAGCTTTGATATTGACAAGTTTCCAAACTCATCAAGCTGGCTGCTGTTGACTTGACAATGTTCATATATGGCTGTGTTTGTTAAGAGGTATGTCAAGGTTAAAGAGAGCCACATCACGTGGAATAGACAGCAACGACTGCTAGAATGTATTTAGAGGACTGGCTAAAGTGGCAGTAACTGGCTCAATACAGATTTGAATCCATGTTTCTTTCATGGTTTTGTCTATGAAATATATTAAATGGATTAAGTCCAATTTTACAATTGAAAAGCATAGCAATCTCTTGTCCCCTTGATTTCCTATAGGTGACCCTAATATATAGTCTGCTACATTCAAACCAACTTTCTATTTCAACCTGTTTGTTAGGTATGTTGTATTTACTACCAAACCAAATCGCTTTACTCTTCACTCGTGGTATTTTTATTTTATTTTGGCAGGGACTCAGATCTAAACCTGGCTCATTATTTTGTAATTTTGTAAAAAGATAATGAAATATTTGATATTGCTAATTAGATAACAAATGGCAAGACTGTCAACAACAAAATGACTGTGAAGCATAAAATGAACATCTGAAACCTTGCACATAACTGATAAAACTGATCTTGTAAAGAGTAGTTTCATAAAGTAATGCTAACTCGATGAAATAAATTGGCATGAATGTGTCTTCAATGCATCCAAGATATAACTAATTCACTGTTTCCTTTCAGTATGGTGGGTTAAGTCCACACCGTCTGAGAGATTCGCCCCTTTTTTGGCCACAGTGGTGGAGCTTCATCAAACTGCACGCTCTTGTAGCTGTGCCTCTTGCTGCTTTACTTGCGTGACTGTGGTATCAACTGAAAGGTTACAGTGTGTACATTATACGAGTAGTAAATCAAAAACATCCATGTGTCTCTAACAATGCCCTGACCAGCCTTTAGGTCTTATATTAAAGCAAACCTTTTGGTCACCACACAGGAAAACAAGGACATCCAATTTCCTCCTCAAAGCCCCTTCCATTCCAGCACAGTGGAATTCATGAAACACTGAACTGGTCCCAGGTATTCATCACCCCCCATTAGTAATGATTAAAGCCATGACTCAAACCTTGGGAACAAGGTTTGGTATCATTCATGCATGTCCATATGCAATCAGAGCGCCAGATTACCAGCATCCGGCTGCACTCAGCCCTTCAACAAATGATGAAAACGAGAGAGGGCTGGGGAGGGAAAAGTATGGAGGGAGGGCTAGAAGAGGTGAGAGGGAAAACTGAGGCAGAGACAAATAGACTGGTCTGGTCTGCTACTGGAGAAGTACAAGCAAAAGAGAAAAGGATGAGGAGGAAAGAGAAAAATAGCAGGAAGGAGGGAGTGATGAATGAAAGGGAAAGGAGCAGTGACTGATCAGTATTGAAAACCTGTGCCGCTGTAAACGTGGTATAAAAGGCTAACAGTGGAAACGGATTGAGATGTCTGTCGTGATGGAGTGGAGGCTGTGGCCCGGCTTTAACATCACAGCTCACTGTTCCTTTAGAAACCAGAGGAGAGAAAATACACTTGAGGAAGAGACAAATCTCCTGACCTTTCAATAACAGCCAGGCCTGGAACCTGACTAATAGGCCTACCTCTCCGTGGGCATGACTGATGAATCCCTAATGGAAGTTTTGGGTGAAAAATAACTGAATTTGACAAAGAAAATGATAAATGTCATCCGCTGCAACTGCAAGTGAAAAACAATCAGCTTTTTTATGATTTACAAAGTCAAAATACAGCAACTATATTTGGAGTAGACTATATATTTAAATACCATTTCAAGCCCCAACAACACGAAACATAAAACGAAGCCAAACCACAGTAACTGCACCATTTTCACAAGAGCCATTTAAACACGTTGCAGGATATACACAGGTGTAATTAATGACTTTAATTATGGCCTATAGGTGGACCAGAGCCCTGGTATTGTGCATGCTGGCTCGCTTGAATGACTGAGACACCACATAGAATTGCATTATAATCAATTGTCTTAATTACACCTGTATTTACCCTGCCATGACAGGTCAAAATGGATGCTGTGAAAGGGGCCTAATATAAAGCAAGCTCGAGCTTGCTGCAATAGCCATGGCTGACCGTGTTGATCTAGTCAGTCGCCAAATCCAATCACTGTAGAAAAGAAATGGCCAAACACCTGCTGGCTAAAAGGAGACAATAACCTAGCATAGCAGAGTTAAGGTAACTGCCATATAGCCTCTAGTGCAGGGGTCGGCAACCTTTACTATCCAAAGAGCCATTTTGTCCTATTTTCCACCAAATCAAATTTGTCTGGAGCCGCAAAAGCTATTTGATATCACAGCTTATAAAGTTGTATATGTAGTTATATTATATATACAAAAACTATAGTTTGTTGTATTTATCAAAATATAGAACAAGAATAAAGACAATTCTTCACATTTTACTGCAATTTTACCAGTTATAACAATATCAAACTCCTATGAAGAGCTCAGTTTGCTGCAGCAGTTGAGGAATTGCTCTTTTTCGCTCACCTCAGCGTGACACTTTTCAGCAAATGCTGTGTGCTTGTTCTGGAAGCATTCCCTGCTCTTCTTTCTATTTCCTCGTCTTAGCCCCGTGTGTGTGTAAACCTCGATCGAGTCAGGAAACTTGTCAGAATACCCATATTTGATTGGCTGAGCTGCATCACGTGATGTGATTTGCAATGCATTAGTCGGTGTGTTTCCTGCACCGCCGAACAAGTGCCGTAAAGGCTGAATAAGAGGCGCCGGTTAAAGTATAACCTCAGTGCCTAATATGTATAATTCCGAATTATCAATCGGATTTAGGTCCTGGGTCCGGATCTGGTCCGCCAGTTGGGGACCCCTGATGTAGACTCAGGGAGCCGCAACAGAGAGGCTGAAGAGCCGCAGGTTGCCGACACCTGCTCTAGTGGAATAAACATTATTTGTTTAAAACTCATATTTAAATTGATCAAATTAAACAAATTTGTAATATTTAAATATCAACAAACAGAGAGACTAAAAGACTTAGCTACATTCACTTAACTGGTCCTGCTTAATTTCAGCCTCCAATTTAATGTGAATTCAGATCAAAATCATGTTCACGAATTAAATTGAATATTAATTCATTTTAAATCAATTAATATTTGACATTGACAGAGCAACAACTGTCATCTCAGCCTTTGACTTCATGGATTTGACATGATTTGTGTAAGGTACCTCGAATATTAAATTAGAAATTCATCATATATTGATTTCAGACATGACATTTTAGAAATGCTATACTAAAATAAAATATATATTTTCTCCTATGAGCTCTGATCCAGAGATAATACAAAAATGAAGATAATTTTCTTTTCTTTTCGCTTGAGGGTAAAATACCCAAATCTACCGACTCAAAACAACCTTCACACAAATCCCCGACAGGAAGAAGGCAACATCCGCTGTGTCCTATCAGCCGAGGAAGAACTCCCGAACGCTTTCAGACAGATGGCAGATTCCAGCCAGGACTCCAGGACTCAATGATGGGGTGGTGCCAGCATTGAGCCAAAATCTATTTATAAATATAATTTGACAGTGACACTCCACATCGCAGGAGAACTGCTGGACATCTAACCTGCCAGGGCCCACATAAACAAATCCAACCCTGTTAGCACTTTGAAGGGCCCTCTGAAGACGTGTGGTGCTGTTTGTATGGCACTCTGGCCATTAGCCACACAGAGCAGTTACAAGGGAAGCTGGCCATAGTTGCACAATGGACAACCTGCACACAGACAGCATTAAGGGGTCCATAGGAGCAGGATAGTTAATGCCAAGTTTACAACTATTTACAACAAGGACTATTTGGTTAAATTGCTGACGCTCCTTTAAGGACTCATAGACACTTAAGGACAATGCAGCAGACGACTCTGAACATAAATGAAAAGGCTTTTTATGATTAAACAATGAAAATTCCTCAACTGGCCAAGTTATTCATCTGATCTCGATCCAGCTGAATGCAATACTACTTAGAAACAAGCAGGATGTAAAGATAGCTGCAGTAAAGGTTCACCAAAGAAGATAATGTGTCTGCTGACTTCAATGGGTAGACAGTCACTTAATCTGACATCTACTATCAAATATGACTTTATTTCAAGCCACTATATATTTAAAATCCCTAGAAATGTAATGTTATCATAGAATAACTAGAAATATTGATTTGGTTAATTATTCATTATTTATACATTATTTATGCTAGATTGGTGCAGTCTTTGGTGCAGTCTAGATTTTAGCCCATCAATCTCAATGTCCCCTGGTCTGATCCTTGGGGGAGAAAGATCGGGGTTTAGGTGTGTTCAAACAAGCTATAGATCTTATATTGTTTATCTGATTTGGAAGTAAACACGCTCAAATTAAAACCACCTTAACCACATAGTCATTGTTTCATTATAAATCTATTATGCTGGCATGCAGAGCCACCACAATAAAACATGTATTAGTCTGGTAATACTTAAACCACACTGTATAATACAGGCATGATCCATCCTTTAGCTCCCTGTTGAAAGCAGTAAGCCTCAGTTCTGTGAATAATTCTGAGGTGTAGATGCAGTGACACTTCCTATGTTTCCCATTTGTTCCGAATAACGGCCATGTAGCATGTGAAGAGCGCCAGCTGCATAGAGCACCCACACTGATTGACAGGTGATCTCGAAGAAACACCACAGCAGTGAGCGATTCGCACCACAGATGGTGACAACAGAAAAAAAAAAACAGTAATTTATTACCACGATCAGACCATACAGACATTTACATATCTGAGCTTATAAACACGTCTGAAAAATTGAGTGACAAAAGGGAGTCGTGCAAGAAAACAACTCAAGATTTGTTCTTAAGAGGCGTGTACCTGCCGCAATCAACGGTTTTCTCGTATTTTGATATTTCTCTCTGGTACGAACACAATTTACGAGTGGTCCAGACCTGTCTAAGGAGTCCTGTGCAATTAGTCTGCTGGTGCCCCTCCCAAGTTTTTCACAAATAGATTATATTTACTTTGATGCAATTATGAGTTTGAAAACCCTTTATGAATTCCACTTCATAATTATGTTGACATTATCCTGTTTGACACGGTATTAAGAGCACTTCTTATTTTCCCCATTCTTTGGCTTAAACAGGTCCCTTTAGTTAATTTTGCTACTGACGCTGTTAAAAATCATAGACTTTCCTTTATGGATATCAGAGAGCAGGATTCAGTATAGGACATATGGGGCAAGATGCGTAGCCTTATATGGTATTATTGTAACATTTATTATGTTAATTGAAAATTTTCATGAATACACAGGTGGCATTCATCATGTTTACGCCGGCCATTTACACAGTTACCTGAAGTTAGGGGCGCTTGTTGAATCTGACGCGGCACACTCGTACAAACCTACTGTATACGGAAAGAGAAATTCAGATAAGAACACAACAATGTTCTTGCATTGGGTCCGATGTTTTTCATTTGTATCAATGCAGCAAACACATTTTTACGGCACATCTTTTACAATTTGGCACCGGACATTTATCCAAGAATAGCTTGAAACCGTTTTCCATTACCAGCAAGCAAAAATAGAATCAAGACTGTTTTAAAAAGTACATTAATCTACACAAATCAATGAGGGAGGGTAGTAATTATCTCTCCCCAGGCCTGTCCGCCCTCTCCCTGATGGGAGGTTGTGGAGGGCAAGCAGGTGATGCAGCTCTTCTACCTCTGCCAGGCTCATGTTTCAGCACGGTGTTTACGCTTGCACTTTCTGCGATGACAAACGAGAACAAATCACAGACCAAGAGTGCATTAGTAGGGTTATTGGGTTATGTGCCGGTAAAATATAAGACTGACTAAATGTTTTTTCCGAGAGAATCTCTGAGGTGTCATCCAACTAAGTGTTAAACAGAGCTCCTTGCTATGTAACAATCCTGTTGATGCCCGTTTGGGTACTGTGTGACGTGTGACCTTTTCAGTCATGGACCACCACTCTGAGCTGTGTCCCAATTCCATACTTATAAACTCTGAATCTGGTTAGAGTAAATACTCAAAGGTTTTATTATGCCA